TTTAAGAAGCTTATGCGATGTGCTTTTTCACTATCAGTCGAAACGATATTCTAGTGGAAACATTGAGTGCTGCGTTGATCAAAGACTCGAGAATGGGTGATAATACGCGAATAATTTCAGCATATCCACTACCGAAGTTGTATCATAAGTTACACTACTGTGTTTCGTGTGCCATCCACAGTAAGGTGGTACGTAATCGAAGCAGAGAGGCTCGCAGAGACCGCAATCCCCCACCACGATTCGGCCAACGAGCCGGACCTCAGGGTGATCGTTTCCCACGACCTGGTGCACCCGTACGAACTTAATTCGTTCTGGTTTCATGTGATTGATTTGTTGAAGAATACTTTTGTTATGTGAATTGATTGTTTTTGAATTGTGTTGTGAAGGAATACAATTTTTTTCTGTTTTTGGAGTATTTTGTTGTTATCGATATTGCAAACCTATTCACATTTATACTGTTTTGAAGTGACTGACAGTAGAGAGACTGTGATCTGATTTCACTCGATATCCTCATCTAAGTTTGAGGTCCACTCAAAGAAATAGGATGCTAGTACTCAAAATTGCGCTTGCATAGCAGTAAAATACGCCACCACGGCGTTTTGCTAACGAAAGGATATCCACTTTCAACACATTAATTGATGAATTTTACAAAGGCATTGGCGTCACATTATAATTGATGTTGATTGCTTAGGGAACAATGAAGTATTTAAAATGTTATTGCATATTTTAAAGTGTAATAAAGAAATCATAATATCTAATGTGAACACTCGAAAAAATTTAAAAACAATGACTTACTGAGAGTATTTGGAAAGAGAAAACATAGAAGATCATTTAGGAATGCGAGCTAGAAACTGTTAATGCTATTGGGAGATTTAAATTACAGTTCCATAGGTATGTACACATGAAAAAGTATGAAAATAAATGGACGATACTTGGAAAGACTATAAAGTTGGTAGGAGAAGGACACACAGAGAGAACAGCATTCTATAGAGCAGCGTTTTTCACGTTTGGAAGCACCATTCGACGGTCTTTTAGCCTCACCCACTACTATTTCTATGCATAACGTCAAGTCTTGCTGGGTAATCAACCTCTCGATGAGAAACACTGCTCTAATATTGAGGAAATAAAGGAGAAATCAGTCTACGGAGGTACAAGGTAATGAGAATACAGTTCTGAGATATATCGAGGTTATTCGACCAA